ACTGTAGAAACAGCTGTAAAGACAGTTGGTAACCTACATTCAGAGATTAACGAAAGCTAGTGGACTTCTGCAAGCATACCCTGAGTGATACGAGAAGACTAATTCCAGCTAGCTCTGACCACAGTGATGACGAGCGACAGCAGCTCAAACATAAATTGACTAACAGTCCTCGCAGTGATCGCGAGCATTGATGGATGGGTGAAATGAAAGAGATGGAGGTAGTGGTGGGCAATTACTCCGGTTTACTAGGGATAGCGGCGAGACGATGGTAAGTGCGGTTATTACCGGAAAGGATGGATCCCTGATAACCTCTCATGATAGACGTCTAGAACGCTGGGCAAAACACCTGGAAACATGGTCCAACCGGTCTACAGCAACGCTTCAGTTGCCCAGCATGCAGCCTGAACCTGGATGAAACATACATGTCAATCTCCCATCTCTCCTCAAAGTTGAGAAGACTGTTCGAAACCTGAAACGATGCAAAACAGAAAGACCTGATGGTTTGTCACTTGCCGCTTTTAAGAAAGGAGATAAAACATTGCTGAGTACAGCGGCAGAGGTACTAAGTAATATGTAGGAGTCAGAGATAGTTCCGTCAGACTGGTCTGCTATGCCGGTCATTCTAGTGCATAAGAAAAGAAAGGAGTTTTCATACGACAGCGATATGAAGATCGATTTAACTAGATCATGTCCAAGATCCTTTGGTCCATAGTTATCCGAAGCATAACTGGATGTCGAGAACAGCAAACTCATAACACGTAGAGTCTTTAGACGTGGACAATGGGGCATCAACCAAATATTCGCCCATCAGCAGATTGCGGTACAAAGCCATACCTATCGACAGCCGACACTTGCCTTATTTCTTCACCTGAAGGTGGCATTCCACTTTATCGACTGAGAGGCGTTGTGGTAGTGGTAGTGTCTCACTGTTAGGGAGAACGGATAGTGTGTAACACTTATCAAAGCTCTACACAGAGGTTGACCAAATCACGGGAGAATTCTCGTTAGACCTAGAATATGCAGATGACAGTCCGGTTAGGTGAAGACGCTGATAAGATGCAGAGTCTTTTGCACACCTCAAGTGGCAATGTGAGAATGTTTAGGAAACGTTTCTCACCACCCAAATGCAAATTATTGCTCCAGAATTGGTCTTCAACGGTGCCTCGGTGGACAGTAGAGAGTGTGGTGGTTGAGTGTGTCGACCACTTCACTTATCTAGGAAGCAGAATCAACCCGGGTGGCTAGCTCACTGGCCGACGAAATTTCTGCACGAATACAAAAGGCTCGATTGGCTTTCGTCAACTTACGCCACCTGTGGCGCCACCATGATATCCGACTGTCTATTAAGGGTGGCGTGTACTGCACAGCAGTCTGCTCTCTTCTACTGTATGGCTATGAAACATGGCCATTGAAGGTGGAAGACATGACAAGGTTTCAGGTGTTTGACCACCGTTGCCTCCATAGTATAGGCAGTATTTCGTCGTGTCACCACATGAGTAACTCAAAAGTCAGGTGTAGAGTTTTAGGGAGAAGAGGTAAGTCAGTTGATGAGGTTGTGAACCTTCATTGACTGAGATGGTTGGTTGGCTGGGACACGTGTTGCGTATGCCTGGTCGCCGTCTACTCCGTCATACAACGTTAGCCGAAGTAGACTCAGACTGGAAAAGGGTCCGAGGTGGCCAGACTGAAACACATGGCATCACTGTATGAAGTTTCTGACTGTTGGTTTGAGTCATGTGAGGCGATGCAGACTAGGTGGTTGGGATGCGTGAGACAAGAGAAACCAGTGGTTGGAGACTGACTCTATATGATATGGCTGAGAATCGATGTCAGTGGTGCAGATGTATACACACATTGTCCTCATCTTAACGCTTTACCGAATGTCACCATTTTCTCATTCTCCTTCCTGTATTTTAGTACTTTATATTTCTTTTGACTGAATTTTTGTTTCATGTTTCACTTCACTGCCTTTCTACTTGATGTGGTGATATGAGCTGTGGCAACTCGGACCATTACTGCCTGATCCTATGTTGATAGATGATGATTGAGTGCATGTAGTTGACTTCGTGTACACAGTCGACGTTATCCTACTTGGTGAATACGCTGACTAAATGAAGGGTCTTTTGAACACATTGAGCAGAAACCCAGCTCAGAGAACACAACACAACCAAGAAATCTGAGTATGGTTGGCATGCGTTACACACCCATCAAACGGAACTGGTGCGCAACTACCTTTAGTCTGATGATAGTGAGTGAATTGGAGGAGTGCATTGACAACACTTATTTGGGAAGTCGTGCTAGTCTAGACAGATCCGTTGGTGACGAAATGTCAGCTCGGATATAGAAGGCCCGTTTGGCATTTGCAAACATGCATCATCTCTGGCACCGAATGGAGAAATATATGACTGCCTGGTAAGGGATAAGTATACTGGGCTGCAGTTCGTTTTGTTCTGCCCTATTGTACGACTGTAGGATATGGTCGTTGAAAGTAGGAAGATATGAAGAGACTGTAGGTTTTCGAACACAAGTACCGTGGTAGGATTCGTGGTGTATGGTGGGATCGTGGTGTGAGTGATTTTGAGATTAGACGAGGAAAGTAAGTCATTCAGTGAGATTGTGATCCTTCAGTGACTGAGGATGCTCGGATATGTTGCACATGCTGAGTCACAGCGTACCTCAATGTGTAATGTCAACCAAATTAGGAAGAAGGTTCAGAGTGCTCGGACCCAGAAGTGGTATTAGCCGATGAAGTCCAGGACTGTTGGTATGAAACATGTAGGTGGGTGTGGACTGTTTGGTTGGGGTCCTAGAAACGATAAGTGTCAACAGTAGAAGACTAGGCAGTGTCTGAAAGTCGGTTACTATTATAAATATGCATTTTCTCTTTGACCTCTTCTGAAGGTTCAACATTTTCACTAATCTTCATTTTCAACTTTCTCTTTTCATACGCCTTTGTCCACTTTGATATCAGTCTTTTTCTGTCCACTTGTTCTCTGTATGCTACTATGGAGCATGTCAATTTGTACCAATGCGGTTGTGTGCAAGGTTTTTCGTTGATTTTGTCTGTCTGACATCTTTTCTGACCTTCACAGTCAGACAGTACCATCACGTAATAATCATTAAGTGTCGCTCATCACTTGATATAGAAGCATTTATTAAGTTGATGAGTGAATAAGTGCTAGGAGTATGAAAGTCAGTTAAAATTCAGGAAAATTTCTGAACAGTTGAGACAGGTATATCCTGCGATTTGATGAACTGCCGTAACGCCAGTTCGGTTTTTTCGAACTTTTTATACATTCTATTTTACCATTTATGTTTTTAGGTGGATGGATAAGAGCAAAGGTGACGCAAACTGCGATACCACGAGCTGATACTAAGAAATACGACACTTTTTCTACTCCTTTAACAGCTTTAAGAAGAATGAAAATTAATGTGTTTTTACAACAGGTCAGTCTCGTCAGTGTATTCTAGGTGAACGGAGGTTGTTGCACTTAGCTGGGTGTCCCACGTGCTCTAGTGACTAGTAATTGGTACCATAAACAAACAATATGTCCAGATAACTATATCTGTACGCCTGAATTTAATTGTATATGGTTGTAAAATGCGTCTTATTGTGCTACATTTTTTTCAATGTATTTCATATCCTCCTTTATAAAGAAACGTAAGTTTTATTTTTTTGTACTGATAGTGTGACGTCATGTCCCTTTAAGAAAAGAGCAAACATCAACATTATATGCAGATATACATAACAATACTTCATACCATGGTGCATTATATTCAATCCAGGTTCAGTAGTAACATCCTTTATTCTGTGTTAGACCACCCTTGGTTCGGTGGTGAGCTGGAACTACTTGTAAACCCTTTTAGTTTTAGCAGCAGGATTTCTACAATTAGCACTAATTTTTGATACGATGTAAGTGTCACTGAAATACCAGGGTCTCTGCCGACTAGCCCTGCCACTTCTAGTAGCAGATCTTAAAACACGCACTGAACCAATTATATTGAGTAGGTTCGCTTGATATGGTAGTGATAAAGTACTATTTACTATACGACGCATTTCGAGTGTAAATTACTGCTCGCATTAAGACTGACCGTATGACTTTCGTTTGGCTTATATGGCTTTGATATCTTCCTTCTATTACATTTTTCTGGTGTTGATCCCATGGACAGGGATTCAGAGATCAAGCTCTTCATACCCTCCTCACCCTACTACATATTTTTATACCTGTTTCTTTTTGCATGAAAGAAGACAGCTGACTTTATTTCTGGGCTACCTATTATGGTGGGGTCTATCATTTAAGAATCAGCTAGGATATAATGCTCAACTAACCTGACTGACCCTGTTCAGCTAAGTATTTGACCTCAATCATTGCATGTTCTTTGGGAGATTGAAGTCTTACAGAGTTAACGGAATCATGATAAAGTTTATCTTTGAGTGAATTTGTCGGTTTAAATCTCACTCTGATAGCGGCGTTATTAAGAATTTTACGCAGGGCTTCTGGTGTATCTTTTTCATATGCCAAAATAATAGAGGTTCTAAATTCTATCAGCTGGTGCCCTCACTACTCCATTTCAAATGAGGTCCTACATCAAAAAATGAGAAAGCCATATGATCAGCTTGGTATGTTTGTAGGTAATAACTCATCCTCAAAAAGTCTGTATCCCTGCAAGGTATATCGAATAAACTTACTCAAAATAGAACCACATTTTAAGATAGTGCCCAGGTTTTACCCTTATATTATTGTACCACTTTTGGTTTGGAAACATTATTTGACAACTTATCTGAAGCTATTTCATAGGTTAAAGCCTAAAGATTAGATCGTCACTCATCTTTGATTGTATATTCTCACAATCAATGATTTGTTCGTATTTCAGATACTTATTAAACGATCCAATACCCTTGAACGTAATCAGTAGCTAACTTTTCAGTAAAAAAGGAATAACAAAAAATTATACGCGTAAGTACTAAACTAAAGCTGTTTCATAAACACAGTACTCACCCTGGTCATCACCCTGCTGGATTACATGCACTGTAAAGGTTAGTACTGAATTCGGAATAAGATATGCCAATGCTGGACTCAACTGCGCATTCGCCATAACAAGAAGACGAACTTGACAAGGTGCAACACTTCTGTAGATTGACTCCTGCAAAACCACACTGACGACAGCTGAGCCAGTGCGTAAGCCACTTATAAGTTGCATGTAGCCCTATTGGAATCAGGTGACCAAAAAAAAATAAACAAACCTGCATTCCTTTCGACTCTAGTAGAGCCATTGTACTTGGGGTAGTGTATTCTGACTCACTCCAAGTAATGAATCTTAAAACTCCCTGAGTGTCTCCAAATTCTTCGTATCTATCTTCAAATATACGCCATTCGAATGGTACCCCTTCTAGAGATGAGAATGTGTTCCCGAATTCATCATATGCAGTCACCACAAGTGACACTGGAGTGTTGTGAAGATACAACTCTTGTGTAGTTGTGCTTATCTCAATCCGATGAATATCATCAACGATAACATCACATTTCACAATATGTTCCGCATCTAAAAGCTGAAGAGAGATATTTCTACTCACTTATTATTTTTGCATATATAGTGGCACAGCTCTGTGTCGTGATTGCCAAACGGCTGTAATAACGGCTGCAGAAGAGCATCCATCATCGGATGACACAACTGGGGTGACTACTGCAACCTCTGGTGTGCCCGAATGCCTAATTGACGTATTGTAAACGTAGTATACCAGACTATTAACCTACCATTCATAGCAAGCTCCATTACTACCATGAAGAGTGTAATTTACGGGATTAATGCTGTAATACGGCAGTAGCAGCTTCGAGTCACTTAACTTAAAATCACAATACACGAGTCTCAACAATGAACATAAAAGCACGACCAGCATCGTTTTAATTTGATGTCGTGCGAAGGTCATCTCCGCAACCCAACAAACCAAGTATTCGCGTTAAGAAAGGAGTTAGTAAACGTTTTTTTGACTCTAATTTCGGATAACAATAAGTTTTTCCTTGTTTTGGACCTCACACGTTTTCCAAAATAAATAACAGAGATAATTAGTAGAGACCGGTTTCTCGATTTTGAATCAGCATGACAAGCTTAGATGTCCATCGATTCCAAGGCTGAAATGGTTCAGACGAATGTGAAGGGGATAGAAGAAGCTATTACTTGACTGGTTTCCGCACCTAGAATTAGTGGAGCACTATTTGCAGGGGTTATTAACCTGTGTACAGCAAAGGGAGAATAAAATAACTGTTAAAATATGAAAACCAAGTTAGTTTTGAGTCGGCTCTTAAGTGGACTTTATACCGAATATTGAAGGATTTGGGTGAATTATTCTTGACCGATTCTGCAGGAGGAGCGTTCCGACGCTTTACAACAGTTAGGCAGAGGGAAATGTGCCCATTATCTTGCATGCCTTATTCTGGGCTTAGTTTCTGTGTGTGTCCTTTAAGATTGGTGTTGCAACTAAGGTTCAGTGAGTGACATAGTGAGTAACCAAGAAAGGTTAGGATACTGTGAGCCCTCATCAAGTCACTTCCTGGTCTTCAATATTCCTTGAACGGACTGAGCCAACCACCTCCAGATGCGTTCCAGGCTTAACGTGTCCTTCTGGGAAGAGTGGAGAAGAATTTAGTCCCGAACTTCAGGTGAGGCCGTGTAAGGCTGCTGAAAATTTGACTGAAGGGTCAAGGATCGAATTTTCCAGAAAGTTGCCTGAGGCTTGGTGACGCCAAGTTTCTGTGAAACGCGCCTCAGCCACATTTGGCATGAGATTTCGAGTGTGGGGAACTAAATCTCTCAGATGGATCTCCACCTTTGACAGCTTGACTTCCGTTTCGTCGAGAATAAACGCGTAATGCTCGTCACGACTTTAGATGCGAAGTCTGGCACTTTTCAAGCCCGAAGCGAAGCCCATTACTATCCGCCCAGTTCTGGATTTGGGAAAGGTCTTCCCGTGTAAGGACACTAGTGTGCTGACTTCTGACTTCTCGATGTATTTTCACATCATCAGCAAGAAGAAAGATTTCAGAAGGTATCGTTCAAGCAAGTTTTTTGTTCATCGCTGGAAAAGGGGAGTCTTCGGTGCCAATCGCTGGGGAGCTCCTGTCCCGTAGTTAAGAAAGATCTTGCTCAGACTTCAAATTAACAGCCACGCATAATGAGGACATCCAGTCAATAAGTGGTGGTTCGACCCCTGTTAACTTTAGTTTGTCATTGAGCCATTTGAAAATAACAAGATCAAACTCTGTAAAAATTCCAGACAGATGAAACTGCGTCTACCTCAACAGCCTAACGATACTAGTCCATCTGCCCACTGCGGTGAGGAGGCTAATAATGCAAGAGCACCATTTTCTAGATGCATATTATTGGGTGCAAAGGAGTTAGCTTTGACGGGGTCATCCCTTTATCCATTATGCATTAATAGCTTGATTTCTTTTGGAGGTTTGAATAAGAGCATCGCCGGCCTACATTTCACTGGGCCGGTTCGTCGACCTCTTGTTAAGATTCGGAACTTTCCCTTGACTTGGAGCATCTTGAACTAACTGGAGGTTGATCCAAGATTGACTCGCTTTCATGCAAAAGTGCCGAGTGGATTTCGCTCGACCCCGGGGAGGCGTGTTTTGTGAGAAGTAGCGGTTGGTGCCGCCAACAATCAAGAGCCCTCCCTCCTTAGTGGTAAATTCATGAATTTCTGAGCAGGTGATGAAAGGATTAATAATTGCCGAGCGGCTAGTAGTTCGGCTGCTTCGGTGTAACTGCTATTCAGTCCACTGGGCACCGATAGTAGATAGACTGTCGCTTTAACCTATCGGAACAATGCAGCACAGAAAGCGGACTTCTCAGGTTCGACACAAACGTCTTTGTGAGCCTAACCTGATGCCGTTGCCGATTGGTTCTCATTGTCATCGTGCATGTGTTTTTCGCTCGTTCAGACAGTTCGTATGCTTTGGAAACCATTCCGTTTGTATTTAACCAATGGTATTTTAACCTAATTAGCTTACGATTAGGGTTTTACACTACTCTAGGTGACTTGGATCACTTGGGAGCTGAAGGCGAAGCGAGGTGGGTAATGTCGTGCATTTTTTCGTTAAATATGAATCTTAAGTGAGCGTCCATATACTGACATATATGGTCAACTTCCTATACTGCCCTAAGATCAAGTATTCTCAGTCGCCTAAAGTTTCAGTGACGCTTGCTGACGTGTCCGCAAACATGGTGGAGACTGATAACAATGTAGTCACTTTTGCCCTTTAAGAGGGGGTTGTTAGGTTGTCAGTCTGGGGTTAGTCAAGTGTGAAGATGCAGTCTAAGTGGTCAGAAGACTTAAGAAAGCATAAAGCCTTAAGATCCCCATTAGCTCCCTGTATAAGATTAGATGGAACCATTGGATTCCATCTGTCAAAATTTCATCGACTCATCGTCAAGGAGTTATCTTTGAAGTGGATGAGGTACAGGCAGGTGGGCCTACTCAAAATTCAGACCAGTCTTCTAAATGTAGAGTGCTGCCAGATTTACACAGATTGATGGTTGTTTCACCTTGAAGTTACCTACCGTGGAATGGACCACTAACCAACCCAGAAAAAGCGCTGAAACTGAATTATCCAAATCTTTATATATTTGTCACATGAAATAGTCGAGCCAAAAACTCCTTGCATTCTACATCTTTATTTACGGGATCAGATCTAAATGACTAGCATTTGTTCCTGCATGTCCATCAGGGCAACAACTGAACCAGCTGAAAGGATGAAACTATCGGAAGGGAACCCCTTGAATTTCCTACCCAAGACCGGATGGCTTTCGTCACCGTTCCCTTTTTGTGGTATTTAGTGCTGACATGTGTACCATTTTAATGTTCACAGTAGTTGCTGGGTTCATGTACCAAGTGAATTTATCCTCTTTTTACAAATAACCTCTGCATTTTGTGAAAGTTATCATGACACGCACAGGCATTCGAGACAAACGACCCAGTTGATTGTGCCTGTTGAATGGTTAAATACTGCGTTCAACAAGAATACTTATGGTTAAATTCTTAACACAGGCTCACAGAACTTATAGTGGCGACCTTTCTTTTTATAAGAGTATAGAGTCTGTGCCCTGATTATGTATTGTGAACGAATCACTAAGTCTATCTCCTTCACAGAAAAGTTTTCAGCTAGGTGGTATAAGCCGACTACGGGATAGTGATGGATTCCTTTGACAGGCCTACTAGAAAAATTAACGTGACAGAGAACGAGATGCAAATATCTGTGAAATTTAAAGGTGGAAGGTGACATGATATTCTAGTAATGACGAAAGTGATACAAACGACTTATTAGAGGATTACCATAAAGAGTGGAGGGACATGAATACATTAAATAGAGCAGCATTCACGTGAGTAAAGATAAAACCGTTGACAAGAGAACATAGGCAAAAAAGGTGGTAAAAGTAAGAGAGATGCAGTCCTGTGGTGGCAAATGATTTGATAAAATCAACAGCCTAAGGTCCAACAATACTCAAGGCTAGTCGTGGCCTTCACAGCCTTGATGGACTCGTTGGGCCGGGGGCTCTCGATCAAGCATGCACGTCACTTAGCACGTTGTCGAGGTACTTTGGGCTGCTCATACACCATCTGCTAGCCGTTTAGTCCTCGTGTCTCAGCATACCAATGTGATTTGCCAAATATAAGATCCCCACCCGTCTACGTTGTCCCATTCCATCTTGGTCTCGCACTGATGGGTAGTATACAAGGACGAAGAGTTGGTGTCCGGCGCCTGTAGTGACTGCGTGAGAACAGTCCCTACAACCCTTTAGGGACATTTCTGTGAAGCAGACAGACTTGGTGATTCGTTCACAATACACAGTCAGGGCACAGACTCTATACTCTTATAAAAGAAAGGTCGCCACTATAAGTTCTGTGAGCCTGTGTTAAGAATTTAACCATAAGTATTCTTGTTGAACGCAGTATTTAACCATTCAACAGGCACAATCAACTGGGTCGTTTGTCTCGAATGCCTGTGCGTGTCATGATAACTTTCACAAAATGCAGAGGTTATTTGTAAAAAGAGGATAAATTCACTTGGTACCTGAACCCGACAACCCAGCAACCCAGCATATCGCGCTCGCTGTTTGAAAAGGAGAGTGACTTTCCAAGTTCAGCTAGTTTCTTGGCATTTTTCACCTTCACACATCGAGGGATGCTGTATTTTTGCTCCGATCGGAATATCGTCCGATTAAAGGAAGACAGTAAATTTTACTACATGAAGTTCTGTAGTTTCTGCTATATTGTGAGCCAAAAGTGTAGTCAAAATGCTTGTGGCAGGGCCGGGTGCCACTTTACAGAGGCCTCTGGTATGCAGTGTAGCGAATGTAAGAGTTGGTTCCGCTATAACTGCATAGGCCTTACGCTCAGCATGCTACAGTACAGCAATGCAGGAAGTGCCCGGCTTTGTGCTTTGTGCCGTTCGGATATTCGCACTCTAGTAGAAGCAAAAGCGCTTCTGAACAGGATAATTAAGAAACCGTCGCAGAAAGTCAGAGTCGATGTCTGTGACAGTGATAACGACATAGCATCCATTGACACACAGATTTCTGTGCAAAATATTAAGAACGTCCCACAACAAGCTGTAGGTTGAGAGCGTAGACTACCTGCTAGGTTCGCTGA